CCAGTGTATTAGAACTTCCTTTTTTTGGCTGGGTGATTTTTTCAGGTGAATCCTTTCCTCTGGCAAAGCCTTGAGCTGGGACAGAGGGATTATTTGATGAAAAAAGCCCTTTCTCTGCTGGGAACAGCCCATTTCCCTGGAGGGCACTGGGGCTGGCGTGGGTTGATGCCGGTGACATCTCCGTGGGGTGCTCGGTCTGAGGGCCATGGCTTTGCACAGAGCAGAACCTGCGGGGCTGCCTTGGCTCTTTTTTCTTTGCTTCCCTTGTGCTGAGTGTTTGCTGAGCTCCAAAGCATTTACTCCTGGCAATTATTCTGATGAGGCAGGGGGTTATTTGAAAACTGTGAACGGAGGTTTCTGGGGAAATGTCTTCAAAGGCTGATCTCCTTTCAATGGAGGTTGTAATTGTTTAATGATTTTCTATATGGATTTCCGTGTGGGCTGCTGCAGGACAGGCAGGGCTGGTTTGTCAGCAGAGAACATCTGCTCGTGCTTCACCCTCTCTTCCCCTGGAAGGCTGGTCAGCTGCCTCCTGAGCAATACTGGAAATTTTTGATTTATATTTCCCTTGGCTTTCCTGCTCTGTCTCAGACCCAAACCTCAAACTTGTCCTGTTTTTTTTGGTTTTTTTTTCCAATTAAATCAGCTGTCTTTCCCATACACCTTGTCTCTGGCATCCTTGGGCTGCAGGGCTGCAGTGCTTTAACAACCACAATTGGGCTGGGACAGGACCAGCAGGTTCTGCCCTCTTCTACTGCAGCTGATGAAATATTTTGTGCCTCTCCAAAGCTGAAAAAAACATTCCTACTGCATTGTCTATCCCCTAATTCCTTGGACAGCCAGAAGCCTTATTCTACTTTCCCACCTAAATTTATTAATGAGTGAGTGGTGACCTTTTGCTGATGTTCTTTCACCTTGAACAGCACTTTCTCTTCCTTCATGTTAAACCTCCTGGTACATGGAAAGAGAACAGTTTTATCACCTCTTCCCCTTCATTTTCTTACACTAACAAGTCAGGTTTTCCCAGCAGCTGCCTCTTGCAAAAGGCCACCTTTACTCTGATGAGCCTTGGAGGCAGTTCCAGGCTGGTTATCCCCAATTTTGGGTGACAATGCTTGCATGGGGCCTCGCATGTCACCAGACAGGGTACAGCAGCTCTTTGCCCACACAAGGCAGGTGTTTAATGGGGCTTCTTGCAGCACCGCTGTGCTTGAGGAACGGGATTTTAAAAGGCTTCACCCCTTTCTCAGTGGAATCGCAGTTGAAATTCCCATTGCTTGCTGAGATGTGTGTCCTGGACTTAATATATCTGCTTGTTCAGTGCCAGGAGTGGTGAACTCCTCTTGACAGGACAAATCCCGTGCCAAAGGCATTGATGGAGAGCCGAGGGCAGCAGGAGTTCAGAGCAGGTGGTGGAAGTGGGCTACCAGGGATGGGTCCCCTTCTCCTGTTCTGTTTGCTTTTCTCAAGGAATAAAGAGCATAACAAAGCTGTTTGTTCTGGTTTTTTTAAAGAAAGAACAAGGCAAAATTTTCCCTTTAGCTCCTTGGAACAATCCTGACCAGGCAGAGGGATTTGGGGCTCTTTACTGTGGTCTGAGTCAGAGTCCTTTTACAGAGGGAGTGGGTGATCCTAAGCAGCACAGGAGGATCCTGAGCAGCCTGATCACTTCAAGGTGTCCCTCATGCCAGGGGCCTTGGACTAGATGGCCTTTAAATATCTCTGACCCAAAGCATTGCATGATTCTGTGCTCCTTCCTTCCAGCCATGGCACAGCGCTGGGAGCTGCGCTCGAGTCCCAGGGCTGGCTGGAGATCAACCAGAGATCCTGTCTGCTGGAAACACGGCCCTCCTTTTTCCTGATCTGAGCCCCATAACATAAAGCAGATGTAAAGGTCTAGCAGGGATCAGGAAATCTTTTGTGTGTGCGGTGGAGGCACCGCTGCGTGCCCGAGGAACCTGTGGGAAGGGAAAACGGGGTACCCCTGGGGCAGGAGAGACCCGGCTCTGCGGCGAGGGGACACTGCGCCTGCTGTAGAGCCTGACCTGGCTTTCTGGAGTGGTCCTGCAGTGCCTGCAGCCCACCCTCCAGCACGGTTACGGTCGGAGGGATGCTGTGCCTCGGAGCCGTGGAGGTCCCCTCTGCCTGCGCTGCCTCCCGCGGCGCCGAGCTGCGAGTCGCTAAACAAAGCCAGGGAAAATCAGGCACAAGCTGTGCAATTTGCAGATGATCTGTGTACCTGCTAGCTCCGAACAGATGTTTTCCTTCGCGTGACCATTTGTGAGCTGCTTCCCTGTCACAGGCTGTGGTAGCTGCGGCGCTCGGGAGTGAGTGATATCTTACACCTGCACCGAGCAGCGTTCCTGCCATAAACCTGCTTTGCAATTCCAGAAATCTCCCATTACAGAGTTTTATACCCAGTGCAAACAACGGCAAAATAAGGCTGTTTAGTATTTTTGACAGAGGCTTTAGAAAAAAAAGCACGGGAAGATAAGAACTGCAGGAGCTGGATGGGTTCTGCACAGCTCCGCATCCTCTCCGAGGAGCGGGCGTTGCAAAGGGAAGCGCAGCAGAAGGCAGACCTGCCTCGTGTTAGATCTGCTCATCATCTCCTCTAGCTGGAGGTGGCCTGCAATATTAATATCCCTTTCAGCAGAGATGTTGGTATTTAGCTGGCGTAACTCCGGCTATTCTTGTTATCCACGCACATTCACGCTTCCTCTCTGAAATGTCACGGATTCTTGGCCACGACAACTTCCCGTGGAAGTTAGCTCCAGGCTTTCATTCTGCCTTGTGCAAAGCCCGGCTTTCCTGCCGGGGGGGTGTCAGCAGCACAGAGTCGCTGCCTCACTCACTGGAGGGGGGATTCTGAGCAGCACATCAACACAGCTTAACTAGAGCAGGCTTGGCTTGAGCTCGGCTTTTCCGAGAGGGTTCTAGTGGATAAAAGGACTGCAATTCCTCATCTCCCAGGCAGGTTGGCAGGTGTATAGGAATGTGATATCCTCCTCTGTGTTGCTCATGAGGGGAAGGGGGATCTGTCTGGGAGAGGCTGTTGGTTTTTCCTGGCTCTTTCCAAGCTCAGCCAGCGGATCTTCAGACAGGTGTTTGGAATAAATGTGCAGCAAAAAGCAAAAAGAGCCAGGAGGGAGCCTTATGCTGAAGAGAAGAGTTCTGTAGGGTGTTTTTTTCCTGGGATATGAACCCTCCAAGTCTTTAGGAAGCTCTGGGATAGAGGGATGGATGCCCCACTGTGATGGGAGGAGGATTCCCTTCCCAGGAACCAGCTCTTGCCCTGCTGCAGCGTGGCCACAAACCCGGGAGTGCCTTGCTCAGCCCCTGTGGAGACAGATAACGCTAAACCCCGGGGCTGGCTCTGGGAAATCTGTTGCTCTGTGCTTTTTGCACCAAATTCCCTGGTGGGTTTACCTGCAGAGATCAGTGGGAGCCTGGATTCCCTGCGGGAGCTGCCGGAACGTCTGTCGGGAACGGCTGCTTGCCATCTGCTGCGGGCTGGGAGCGGGGAGCAGGGGACACTGGCAGGTTTAGGGAGGTGCCTTCAGGCACAGCACCCTCCGGGAGAGCTCCCTCTGGAGCAGCAGGATCAGGCCTCTTGCCTGACCAGAATATGGATTTCTTTGCTCCAACAGAATGTGCGTGGTCCAGGTTTGTTGTGCTGCCCAGGAGCCTTCTGCCCAACAGTGGGAACTTGGTTTGGTGGGGCAGGGTGGATGTGGGGAGTTGGGGGCATCCTTGTCCCCCCCAGCTCATGGTTCCTCTCTCTTCATAGTGCAAACAGCACAAGAAACTCCTGGAGGTTTAGGGTGGCACCAGTCTTTTGGGGAGAGATGTGGGATTTGGGGTGAGGTGTGGTCCAAGGTGAGGAGCAGTTCTGACTGGGGATGTGTGGGGTGGCAGGAGCTGCAGTTACAGGGATCTTGCTTGAGGTACCCAGGGATAAAAGACTTCCAAGGCAGGACAAAGCAGCAGAGAGAATGGAAAGGCAAGGAGTGTCCAGGTCACACATTAAAGGCAAACAGGCATTTTCCCATGTGGACCTTTGAAAAGTTGGGATAAAAGAAAAGCCAAAAATGTCATCTGAGATGTAGTTCTAAACGAGGGGATTTTCCCAGTCAGCTCAAATCTCCCTTCTCTCTTACTGGAAGGGGCCCAAAGCACCAAGCACTATTTAACTTGGAAATCTGGGAAAAGGAGGGCCTTGGCCCCGGTGTGTTGGCTCTGTCAGGGTGATCCCCCTTTTTCTCGATGTGCAAAGGGAAATATTTCTTCCTTTCCTTGCCTTGTTGTCAAATTCATGCCCAGCCCACCGACAAATCCATCTCTTTGGAGATCAATTACAGTGTCTGGCTGCCAAGCCTGGAAAACCAATTAACTCCCAAATATTATTTTTTTGCCCTGTTTTAAAGAAGGAAAAAAGTGAAGGGAGGGAAAGAAAGAGACAAAGAGAGAGAAACACATTGAAGTGGGGGCATAAATCACCTGGAAAACATTCCAAACATTAAAATAAACAAGGACGAATTCCAACTTCATTTGTCTCTTTTGGAGATTCTGTCACTGATTTATTTTGCTGCTCTGTCTGAGCCTCAGTTTTGTCTTTGCTCGTGTTTGGAGTCAGGTGCTGTGTCTGAAGCAGAGCCCTGGGGCTGGATGCTCCTGAGGTGATTCCTGCATGGAGCATCCTCCCTTCTGCAGGGCTATGATCCCCTCACCTGGGGTTTTAGGGGGTTAAACTCTCTCCATCCTGCAGAACATTTGGGAATGGATTAAAATGGATGCACAGCTCTGCCTGGGCTGGTGGTTTGGGAGAGGAGCGTGACCCACCAGGCTTCCCAGGAGGAAATAACTGCTTCCCAGTCCCAAACTTCTGGCTTTCTGAAGCCTCCCAGATCTGGCTGTTCAGATTGAAGCTCTCTGTAAACCTCATGTCCTCGATTTTTCAGTGGGCTTTCTCCTTTTGACCAACTCTTCTATGTCCTCAGGTCTCCAAAAGGTCTTGAGGAACCTCCTGTTCCCAAGGCAGGGAATGATGTCCAAGCGGAAGCACACTGAAGTGCCTGGAGGTGAGCAGAGCCCAGGTGTGTCTCAGGTTCGTGGTCTCACAGGGATGTTTAAAGAAGGATTGGGAAAGGGAAAGAAGTAAAGATCAGCTTATTTATGATATTTCTGGTTTCAGTAATTGGCGAGCCAAGGGTCTGGCAAGCCCCCAGCGATGCAGCTGCTTTCCAAATCCAGGGGGTCTGGATGGTAGTGGAGTGAGGAGAAACACTTTTGCCTGAATTAGAGGATTTTCTGTTTCTAAAATACCCTTTATTTGGTATTTTTGGGAGGGAATGCAGGCACCTGGCTGTGCTGGTTGGTACCAGTGACAGGGACTGAGCAGCTGTGCAGGAGCTGCAGGTGTGATGCAGCATCCCCAGAGGGTTTAGTGCCCACCTGGAGTGGCAGCAAGCTGGGGGAATACCCTGGGACATCCCAGGTGTCATTCCTGGTGGCCAGGGTTGGCCTCTGTCTGCCTCAGGCAACAAGGATTCAAATCTGGAGCATCTGTGCTGCTGCCTGTCCCCTCCTGCAAGAAGCTTTAGTTTTCATTCCAGAGGGGAATGAATAATCCTGGGGGTCGGTGTGCAGAGGAATTGCCACCCTTTCTTCAGCTCCATCAGAAACCCTTCAAGAGGCCGTGAACAACCAGCCTTCCCTCGGGATAAATTAGCTCCAAGTCCTAATGGGGAATGGCTGCTCATTTGGAGATGCCCTGGTCACCCTGACCTTCCCTGGGATCCCGCAGCATTCCCTGATCCCTGTGATCCCTGCGGGCAATCGGGAGCTCCCTGCTAGCGCCTCCTGCCCTGGTTGTGGAGCGCTTGGTGAAAAGTTTGGGCAAGGTGGGAGCTCCGAGCTCTGCAAACAGCACAGATCCCACTGCATCCCACGTGCTGGGGACTGACTCCTCAGCTGAGGGTGGTTTGCAGGGCTGCTGTGGGATCTGTGCTTCCCAGTCTGGCTCTGGAAACAAAATCCTGTCGGCATTGTCAAGGAAACCTGGTGAGAGCACAGAGTTGTCCAACAGCCTCCAGGCAGCCTGGAGCAAAAGCTCTGACAAGTGCAAATCGGAATCCAAATGGAGGTTTGTTTTTTTTCCTCTCCAGCCCAACACTGTTGCAGAATAGAAGGATGGCATCAGGAAAGCTCAAAAAATTTAAAAATTAAAAAATCTCATAAAAGCCTCCCGCTGTGTCATCCTTCCCAGACCTTCCAGTGACACAGCCTGGGCGTGGATTCATAGAATCCCAGGATTGTTTGGCTTGGAGGGGCCTTAAAACTCATCCCATTCCAGCCCCTTCCACTGTCCCAGGCTGCTCCAAGCCCCATCCAGCCTGGCCTTGGACACTTCCAGGGATCCAGGGACAGCCACAGCTTCTCTGGGCACCCTGTGCCAGCCCTCCCCACCCTCACAGGGAAGGATTTATTCCAGTATCCAATTTAAACCTAATTCTTCTGGAGATTGGCCTGTCACACCAGTGTGTACGACAAAATCTCCACTCCTTTCATTTCCAAAGCTGACAGTGAGCTGCAGCGGTGGGAATCAGGAGAAATCCATGTCCAGCAGGACAGAGCACACTCTGGACAGTTCTTTTGCTAGAGATAGTTCCCCAAGAAACCATTGTTTCAGACACAACCCATTACTCAATTTATCAATCCCTAGTTCCCCCTGAAATTCCTGTATCCCAAATCCATGGCATAGATTGGATAGCTTAATTTGAAATGTGAAAGCAGGCTGGAAATCATTGCTGTGCAAATCGGGTGGAGGGTGGGCTTTTTTCTGTTCCTTGCCTCAACTGGGCTGAATGAATGAATAAAATCCGTTCAGGTAGTTCCCAGTGAGGAATACATTCCTTTGGAAAAAGAGGCAAAAAAATCCCTCCCAACATTTCATTCATCCTGGAGTGAAGCATTTTGATTGGGGGAACTCAGCTAATTTTTTTTTCCTCCTCAGAACAAGTCAACTTTGAAATATAAAACATCACATTGGAACTGAAAGTTGAATAGAAATGTTTAGAAAACGTGGGATTATATATCCATATATTTGGAAGTTTAACGAGATTGTGGATGGAAAGAAAGCACCCAGGCTATTTATAATTCAATTAGGCTTAGATTTAGGAGTAGTTCTCGCTCTGTGAAAACTGCATCTCTTTTTCATTTGGAACGATCTCCTTCCTCCATCACAGCCCCTTTTCCCGGCGATGCCTGGGAATATATGGCTGCAGCTGGGAATATATGGCTCTAATAGAGCTGCAATGACTGGAGCTGTACTGTGCCAGCTAACTGCTGTATTTTTCTTTCCCGAGGCTCCCCGGGCGTGTTCACAAGGGAATATTGACATTTGGGACCAAGGGATGGAAAACTAGGCTGTGAGCTGCTGGAGCTGTTATCAAGGATATTTATTCCAGCAACTTTCCCTTGCAGGTCTTCTTAAGGTTGTGCCTCTTTTTCCCCATTCCCCTCTGAGTGTCCCACACCACATTTTCCATTAATTACTAAAATAAATCTAACAAAATGCTCTCCTTCCTGGGCTTTTTTGGTACCTTCCACTGTTCCTTCACCTCTCTCTCTGCATTACTGTAAGTAGTGAGTGAGTTCCTACTCTCACTCCGGGGCTTGGTTACTCAAACTGTTTATTGAGTAATAAAAAGAGACAATTACAAGTCATTGCCCAGGGATAATGTGCTGATAATTTTATGACTGTCCCAACGGTTGGAACAGCCCACAAATGGTGGTGAGCAGGAAATCTGGGATCTGCTGCCGACAGAGCCACCCCGAGGAGATGAACCCTCGCTGCTGACAATGAAAGCTGCTGCAACAACTGTGAGCCATTAAAATTGCTGTGGGGACGGCTGGTGGGGTGGGCATTGCTTCCTTCAGAGGAAAAGCCAGAAAGAACTTTTGGAAGGTGTTTGGAAGTTCATCCTACTCGGAGTGAGTGTGAGGGACCACCAGCACTGCTCATGTTCAGGTCTACAAGGCCAGTAGCTGGGGCCTGGGGATTCCTGGAAAAACAAAGATTAGAGGGTGTTAATGCTTTCAAGCAAACAGGGATCATCTCAGAGATAACAAAGGGATTAAGTTTCTCCAGGCACTTGAGCAGGGACCCAGCTTTAGAGCTGCTGCTGCAGGGTGACCCTCGGCTTGCTGCCACCTGTAGGATGACATTCCCCATCCCTGTCACCCCAAACCCCGGGGATTTCATTATTTCTGTTTTTAAGCCTATATCTGTAGCTGGTTCAGTTCCCATCCAGAGGATTTTCCAGTTCCTCTGTGATTCCGTGGGCACAACAGGAAATAATTTCCAATTTAAAGCGTGTCCCTGACCACTGAACATGGAAAACTGCTGCCACTGAAATGCTTCCAATTGTCAAAATTCAGGAATCAGCTGCTCCCCTGTCTGAAACCATTTCAAGGTGATGTTCCCATTGGCCCTCTCCAGGAGGAATTCCTGCTCCTTCTTAGGAGCAGAACATCACCTCAGCACTATCTTCTCCCCAGTGAGGTGGAGCTCAGTGGATGGAGCGGGGAGGGCCCTGGAGAGGTCTGGCTGTGCCCATCTCCCGTGAGGAGGGATGAGCTGCACCTCTCCCAGACCCGCAGCAGAGCCAGAGCTCAGGGTGGGCAGGAAGCCATGGAACTGGGAGTAGCTGTTTGCAGCTGCCAGGACCTCCCATTTGTGTGGTAGTGATGCAGATAGAATCTCACAAACCGGTTTCCATTCTGCTTTACTGCAGATTTAATGATCGGAGGAAGAGCCTGACTGTTTATTAAAACATTAGACAGTAAAGTTTAACAATAGACAGTAAAGGGTTTTGTTTTTCCATCCTTCTGATTGTTAAAGCAGCACCACTCTGGGCTGGAGAGGGAGCTGCTCCCAATCCCTGGATGCAGAAGGGCAGAGTGGGCTGTGATGTGACTGGGCAGGAGGAAGAAGCTGGCACTGCTGCTTCCGTGCCTGGCAAATCCAATATCTGGGGAAGGGCCTCATCCCAGAGCGGGCGCTGTCCCAAGGCTGGCTGGACAGCCACTGAGGCTGCCTCCAAAGCCTCTGCCATCGTTAATCAGCAGGATTAACTCTGGATCTTGCCAGAGATGCTGCTTCCTCCCCTGCTCCCCTCCCTCCCTGGCAGAGGCATCCCTGCTAAGGGGCTCTGGTGGGAGCCACATTCTCCAGCTGCTGCAGGGGATGGAGAATGGACAGTCCCTGCCAGCTCTTCTCTCCCTGTAGCTGGGTGTGAAAACACCTTCAGGCATCCACGGGCGTAGCTGACACCTTGCTGCGAACTGTGGAAGAGGCTCCTCAGGGCTGGGAGGGAGGGGTTTGCAATTTCTGCGGAGTTTTCTCCTGGCATCACCTTTTCAGGCTGGTTCCTGTGCTGAGCTGGCTGGCCTGGTTTCCCCCGGGAAAACCAGGGAAACCCTGGAAGAGGAGAAAGCCAGAACTTCCTAGGATCACTCATCCTGCCTAAAGAATGTTCATTCAGCCTCCAGAGGGCCTGGTGCCCCTCCACATGTTCCAGTGGGGCTCCAGGTGAATTTTCTTGGACATAGACAGGAAAATGCACAGAGGCAAATCTTGCCTGAAATGCTCCGTGTGTCCTTCAGCGTCCAACTCCTTTGTCTCCCTGCAGGAGAGCCCTGCAAGCTGAGCAGCCCTGCTGAGGGCTGGTGGGATTCCTGCACTTTATGGAGTTCTTGGAGTCCTGGGCAACCCCAAAGCAAGGTGCCTTCCAGCTGCAGTCTCAGTGCTGGCAGAGTTTCCCATCCAGGGGGAGTCTGGGGGTCATATTGAAGGGTCAGGGATGTAGGGCAGGCATAGGAGAAGCTTCTCCCTCCCCCCTGTGCTGTGGTGGGGTGTGAAATCCAAGTCTTGCTTCTCTAGGGAGCTTTAGCCAAGAGACCAGACCCCAAATGTGAAGGCAAGGCATGATTTTATGTCTTTGCTGGGCTTGGAGGGGACAGAGGGATGGGGAAACACATGAGAACACGTCAAGATGAGGAGGAGAGGGTTGACTTTTCATGGTCCTGGCATGAACCAGGGTTTGTACAGGCTCAGAACACTTTGAGCACTGAACTCTTCTCTGAGCCCTCCAAAAAGACTTTCAGAGTTTCCAGGAGTGAAGTTGTGAACCAAGAACCCTCTCCAGTGCAGTCTGAGAAGCAAAGATCCCTTTGCACTGGAGGTAGGAATTACAGGTAAAGCCCTCCAGGGATGTGTGGCAGGGATTTTGCTGCCTTGTGCACAAAAAATGTCAGAAAGGGAACAGGCAGAAAAATGAAATTTGCCAGGACATGGCACTGCTCAGGACAGGGCCAGCAAAAGGTAATTGCAGAGAGGTTTTGTGGCATAATGAGGGCTCGGGATGATGTAGAACCATGGAATATCCTGAGCTGGAAGGGACCCACAGGGATCATGGAGTCCAGCTGATTGATTATTGGCAAATGCACATGGAGAAAACCAACAGGAGCTGCACCTGCGTGGTCCAAACAAGCTGTCAGCCTTCCGGGAGGAGACTGGAGAGGCACCACAGGGCACTCCTGGGAATGTCAGCAGGAATATCCACAAAGAGCCTGCCATGGTGCCACTGGATCCATCCTGGAGCAGCTGGTGGGCGCTGGGAGCAGTCCTGGTGTCCCTGTCTCAGGCCCCTGGAAAGGTGTGAGAGGAAAGCACAGCTACCTGGGGTAGCAGCAGGACCTCAGGGGACAGGAGACCTTGATCTGAGAGACTGAAGGAGCGAAAAACAGGAAGAAAGTGGCTTGGAGGAGGCAGATGTGGAGCTGGAGGGTTCCTGCTATGGTGCTGGATAGAGACCCCAGACTTGGGTTATCCATTTGGCACTTTGGACCTGTGGCAGCACCCAAAACCCAGAGCAATGAGGGGACATCAGGGCACTCCTGATGTAGGACAGCAAGCCCCACACTGCTCCCTGTCCTTGTCCTGGACATTCCCAGCCAGCCCCTCCTGCTTGGAGGTAGCAGGAATGTGCCATGGGACATCACACTGTCACCTGGGCTGCACCAGAGCACAGACCTCAACCCTGGGAGACTTAAATGGACTCAGCCTCCCTCCTCAGCCCTGGAAAATCTCAAGGATTAAATTCTGACCCCAGTGAAAACAGCTGAGCATTTTCTGGTTGAGTCTGGTGGGCTGGAATTTAATTCCCAGGTTTAAAGCCTCTTTAAAATCAGCTGTGATATATAACCAGTCTTCTCAGCCTCTAAATACCTCAACAAGATTGGCAGCGCTCCAGCAGGGCCATGGGCAGGATTAGCTGCAAATCCATAGGTCAGGAGGGAAACTGGGGAGCCCGGCTGGGGCAGAGCGGGGCCACAGAGCTGGAATTGCCTCTGCTTGTGTTTGTGGCATGCAGGAAAAGCTAGGAAGCAGGTGAAATCCTCATCTTTTGAACCCCAGAACTGCTGTTGCAATATTCCTGTTTATGCTCACCCTTTTGGAGGATGTTTTGCACATATATTTATGTACATACACACACACACACGCACACCCCCCATGGGTACACACACCACAATGCATCTCCTCAGCCTGCAACCTTCCATAAACTGCAAAAAAGCAGACAAAAAAATTAAGTCCCTTATCATTGCTATATCATCAGAAACTAATATTAGAGCTGCTGGACGATTTTCCCCCTGAACTATCCCCACTCCACGATCCTAATGCGATGATTCTTCCTGTAGCTCTTTACATTCTATTATTTATAAGAAACAATGTTCAGCCCTCCCCTGACAGCATTTGCAGGGCTGCGGAAAGCAGTGCGGCAGAAAGGTGGGAGAACAATTTTGGTGATGTTTCCATAGCTACCTAGCTGCTAAATGTGGTTTATTCCATTTTAAAGTCACCCAACACACACTCACAGCAGCACGCACACAGCCCTCGCACACGCAGGCGCTGGGAACGCAGCCCCTAATCCCTGCTCTGCCTATTCCAGCCTAATCTGCCTGGGATTTGTATATTTAAAGGGCTGCTTGCTGCCTAAATAAATGGCTGGATGCAGCAGGGGGATAAACATATTGTTTCTCTCTCGCTCTCCTCTCCGACGTGTGTGTTCCAGTCGCTCCCTGTAATATTATTACGGATATTTTTCCCCAGCCGTGGTGCGCCAGGGAAGTCGGAGGTAGGAGGGTGTCCTCTCGTGGTCTGTGGCATCTTTGCAGCCTCAGAGCTGCGGAAAAAAAGAAGGGGGAAAGGGGTACCTTGGGCATTTTAGGGGAAAACCTCTTTGGCAGGAGTTTCCGAATTCGGGGATTGTGTTCAAAAACATCTCGGCGCCTCCCTGGTGCCGTGAGATCAATCCCCTCTGGGCTTGCTGCGAGCATCCTTAAGGGAGCAGCTGGGGCCACTGGCCACACTCAGTTTTCCAAGTCCATCCCTGGAAACAGGAGGAAAATGAGGCAGGGGGAAGGGGATGTTTGGTCCCAGAGCAGAGGAAATCTGCAGGGAGCCTTTGCCGAGCCCTCTGTGCGGATTTTTCCCAGCCCTGCTACCACAGGAGACCTGGACCTTGGGATCCGCTCCCTCTGGAGAGACTTGCAGGGCTCATCCTGCTGCCTCCGTGGGGCTGAGCCCTCTCCCACCCACACAGCATTTTCCAGTCCCTTCCAGGTACGTGATGCCCAGTGCTGCACTGGTGTCCCCTGGCTCTCTGCAAAATGAGACAGGGAAAAGCTGGAAGCAGGACAAAGGAACAGAGGCAGGCAGGAACAACAGGCAGAGTCCACCAGAAAATGGGAGAAGAGACGTGCCCAGCAGGAATTCCTGACTCAAGGTTTATCTGCATGTAAAATAGATGTAAATGAGGGAAATGTTCTTTGCTCAAAGTGGGGTTCAGCACTGGGAGAGGGTGCCCAGAGAAGCTGTGGCTGCCCCTGGATCCCTGGAATTGTCCAAGGCCAGTTTGGATGGGGCTTGGAGCAACCACGTGGAAGGTGTCCCTGCCCATGGCAGGGGATGGAACTGGATGAGCTTTAAGATCCCTTCCAGCCCAAACAATTTAATGATTCTGTGAATATAAATGAGGAGGATCAGTAAGATGGAAATATCTGAGGAGAGCAGCCTGCCGTCCATCCATCCTGCCTGTGATCCCAGCCCCCGTTCCCTCCCCTGCAGTGTCACACCACGACTCCTGCAAATCCCGTGTGACACAGCCACACTGGGGATTTTTGTCCACAGCACACACTGGAGGGGAGCAGACACAGCTTTTCCTGGGAATGGCACAAGATTCCTCCCTCTGCTGCATCCCCAGGGTCCCTGCAAGCCTCTCCCAGGGATGTTCTGCTGTAAAACTGTCCCAGAGAAAAATCTCTCTTGAAGTGGAGGATTTTTGTCACAATATTTTTTTTCTTCTTCTTCTGCCTGGCAGAAAAAGGGAAGTGAAAAGCGCTGCTGAAATCGTGTTTTATTTGTGTTTGTCACCAGGTACAAAGCAAATAAATCATCATTGCAAAGCAAAGGCATCTCTGGCCGTCCTTCACCTGCTCGTGTGTCCTTTTTGGTTTGCAGGTTCCCTCTGCTCCACGAAGCTGCCTGGGGTCTGCCAGGGTGCCAGGCACAGTCAGGCACAGATCCATCCCTCTGGAGCCCCAGCTGAGCAGGAGTGGTGGGGAGGCGACAGATTCCTGTGGGATCACTGGGATTCAGCTCAGCCCCCCTGTGGCTCTGCCAGCCCAGCTGCAGAGAGGCTGCATCTGCAGGGAGCTCACATCTGGGATAACCTGGCTCAGGAATCAGGCAGCTTTACTTGTCCTGGCTCTATTCCTTCCCAGGCACAGCCCTGACTCTTCCTGGCTTTGTGGGGAAGATGTTCCCACCTTTCTTTGGGAGCCCTTTCCACAGAGCCCAGCACAGATCCAGCCCATTTTGCCATGGATCCCTTTTTCTTCCCAAGCTTGC